ATTTCATTCAGTGTGTGAAATCACGTGACCCTTGCTTCCGGTCGAAAAAGGCCAAAACCGGAAGTGGCTTATTATTTGAAAATGGTAATAGATATGAACTTGCTTTTAACGGTGTTATTCTCTTGGCTAAAAGTATTCTTCAAATAATCTACCAATGACGTCATGCAATCTTCGAGCGCCCTCTAGCGACAGGTTGAAAATTTGCAAAAATGTATTTTGAATAGATGTCTGTGGCGAAGTTTGTAGGAATCGCCTAAATATTGGTGTATATGACGACCTTGACCCACTTCAGACCGGAAGTTATAATAGAAAGACCCTTTTTCATTTGAAAATTCCTGAAAAATCAACCATGGCAGTTTTTATGTTAGTTTTTACTTTAATTGTCGATTTAAGGGTAGGTCTAAAGCATTTCAAAGCTTCGAGGCAATAAGCGAACTCGGACACGCTCTGCGCACGCTTAAAACTTCAGGTTGACAATACCTCTGCTCTAAAACATGCACAGAACGTCTATATGTACATTACATACACGTACGTTACATCGTATGTCAGTCAGCCTGCAGAGCACGTGTTGCTGAGGTCAAATCCTTTCCACATCACAGTGACCGTTTTAGCCGATTTTCGGATAACTTTGACAGATTTTATGTTCATGCATGCGCATAGTCAGGGACGTATAATAAAAAATCATAATGCCGAAAAGCCCTATGTTACGTATTTAAAGGTGCAGTTTTTCTGCAGTGGATATTTTCCACAAGTCTTTTCCCTATACAACACTGATATTTTACTGAGTAGTTCTGAACTTCGGCCAAGAATTACTATGAGAAGGACAGAAAAATTGTGTTTTTTCGCGCTGTCATTTGATTCAAAATATTTCCAAGAGTCAGAATATCAAGTAATATTTTATAAAAATGTTTCAGTTCAGAGGCAAATCACATATTTAAAGGTGCAGGTTTTTCTGCAGTGGGATTGTTTTAGCCCATTGACTTTGTACACGTGTTAGCCCATTGACTTTGTACACGTTTTCAAGCCACCATTTCTATAACTTGGCGATCTGGAATCGTCATCAATGTTAAGTTACAGCCAAGGAAGACCCTCATACGGAAATTATGCCAAGACTATGACGTCATGATGACGTCATCACCTAATTTTTTATTGATTTTTTAAAATTTACGTGCATATTATGAAGTCATAAATCTACAGAACTGTCAGTCTGATTGGGTTGAAACTTAATATGTGACTAGACTGGGATGTGTTATAGGTAAAAAATGAGGTGACGTCATGATGACGTCATCCCAAGATTTTATATGAATATTTGAAGTTTTTGACCTTTTAGCCATATCTCACGAACGTAACATGCAAAATTCAAAATTCTTTTTGTATTAGGTCTGTTAGGTAATAGGTATTCGCACAAAATTTTTAAAAAAATGTGTGACGTCATCATGACGTCATAAAAATGCTATTTTTCAAAACACATATAAGGAAAGGTCTGACTGTCATGAAACTTGGTGGGTAGGTAGATAATGGTACTAGTATGCAAAGTTTGAAGTGACGTGACAATGACGTCATCGTTTGGTTTTTATTATTTTTTAGATATTTATAATTTTATTCGGCTTCCACAAATTGCACACTTTCTTTCATCGGATTGACATTAAAACTTGGTTCAAACCAAAACCACAATGACAAAATGTACATTGAGAAGGGTTTTAACGATGACGTCATTGCAGAGCAAGTGACGTCATTTGATAAAATTATATTTTATGAATTATTCTAAGTGTTTTGAACAACCTTTAACTGCATGAAGCACTCTGAAAAGTGACTGCAAAAGGACCAACAAAACATAAATATTTGTAAAATGCGGAAAAGCCCTGTGTTCTGTTTGCAAACAGACATACAGCTCTAGTTTATTATTCTAACTGCTTCACTAAGTTTCCTTCTAAAATCTGCATCTCTATGATATTTAAGTTTCCCTGCTTTCTTAATTGCTTCCTTCACTTTATTTTGGTAAGTTGCATCACCATGATATTTGAATTTACTTGCTTCTTTTTCGCTTGTCTTACTTTCCATCGATACTTTTCATCTCCCTGATATTTGACTTTACTTGCTTCTTTCTTAGCTTGTCATACTTTCACTCGATAACTTTCATCTCCCTGATATTTGACATTACTTGTTTTTTTTTTACTTTTTCGCTGAACAGCGAGAAAAGCCTTTGTTTTTGTTCTGATTTTTTTTTCTCTTCTTTTTGATCTTTTTGGGTCCACCCCAAATCCCATTGACTTTGTACACGTTTTTGGTACACGCCACTTTTGACCTAAAACAAAGTCTTTTCGAATGAAACTTATCTCAGGTAAAGACCCTATAGTGAAGTTGTGTCTCGAAGAGTGACGTCATGATTACGTCATCATGGGTCACGTGGCGTCATCACAAACGTGCATATTTGGAAGGCCTATATCTACAGAACAGTAAGTCCAATTGGGTTGAAACTCGGTATGTTGGTAATCCGGGATGTGTTATACATTGTAGGTTAAAATTGAGGTGACGTCACAATGACGTCATCATGCGATTTAATATAATTTTTGAATTTTTGGAGCTTTAAGCCATATCTCACCAACGCAACATGCAAAATTGAAAATTCTTGTTGTTTTATGTTCAATGTTAGGTAATACGTGTTTGCCAAAAATTTAGAAAAAAAGTGAGACGTCACAATGACGTCATCAAAAATGCCATTTTAAAAAAAAAATATAAGGGAAGGCCCAATCGTCATGAAACTTGGTGGATAATTAGATGGTGTCACAAGTATGCAAAATCTGAAATGATGTTACCATGACGTCATCGGTTGATTTTTAATGATTTTTTAAATATTTAAAATTGTGTTGCATTTACAAAATTTTACACTTTGTTTCATTGGATTAACGTCAAACTTGATGCACATCAAGACTACAATAAAAAAAATGTGGACTGACAGGTATTGTTATGATGACGTCATCATGGGACACGTGGCGTCATCACAAACGTGCATATTTTGAAGTCCTACATGTATATCTACAGAACAGTCAGTCCGATTGGGTTGAAACTCGGTGTGTCGGTAGACTGCGATGTGTTATAGATAAAAATGAGGTGACGTCATGATGACGTAATCGTGCAATTTTTTATGAATTTTTGAATTTTTGTACCTTTCAGCCGTATCTCACGAACGCAACATGAAAAATTCAAAATTCCTTTTGTATTTTGTTTGTTAGGTAATAGGTATATATACACATTTTTTTTCTAATTTGTGACGTCACGATGACGTTATCAAAAACGCAAATTTCCAAAACACATATAACAGATAAGTTCCCATCCTCATGAAACTTTGTGGATAGGTATGCAAAATTTGAAATGACGTCGTCATGACATTATCGGTTGATATTTTTATGATTTTTTTACTTTTAAGATTTTATTCCGCTAACAAAATGTTACACTTTTTTTCATGGGATTTATGGTGGTGTTACGATGACGTCATTGCGGGACATGTGACGTCACGTTAAAAGGTGTAAATTTTGAAGTCCTATACATGTATGTGAAGAATTTAGTCCTCTAACTACGGTATCTAATTGCATATGGACAAAACACCCCCCCCCAAAAAAAAATACTGAAAAGCCCTATGTTCTGTTCATCGAACAGACATAGCTCTAGTATTTTCTTGCATTACTTTCTTCCTAAATGCGATGTCTTCATCGTATTTCAATTTCATTTTATTGAGAAGATCATTACGATAGTCATCGTCTGTACAATATTTCATCTTTCTCTTGACTTGGGTATCTGCATGATATTTAAATTTATCATATGCTCTCTTATTGTTTCTCTTTGGCTGGTTTTCATCTTCTCCTAAATCTGTCTTCATATCTGAAATGTTATTATCTTTATCATTATGTTTTTCTCTCTTTCTTTCTCTGTCGAGTTTTCTCTTTAAGCGCAAATTTGGACGACTTTTCCTTTTTTTCACCTTTCCTCCATGTCTGGTACTGTTTGATTTCACAGACTGGTTTTTTCCATTCATATTTAACACTGCATTACTATCAGCCAATTGACACGTTACATCTACCTCACTTTTCCAGACACAGACATCATCATGTTTTTCTTCATTACTGTTACAGGTGTTTAATTCAGAGTCATGAACTGACAACACCACATCATAATGCATTTGACCAGTATGGTTGAGATATATTTCAGCAGCTGATGTCACAACACCCAGTCCACCATGTTGTCCAGAGAATATCAACCATCTTCCACTATAAGTATATATGTCAGTCTGGAGCATATGTGCTAAGCATATTATTTCCAATTCTGTTGCCCAAATTCCAGAACACATGACTCTTCTCTTTGAAACATAATCTTCAACACTACAGAATCCCTGATGCAAGAAGGACTTGTACTGATCAGCGTTTTTCAACAAGTGATTCACAGTGGCCAATCTCAATCTCATATGATTACGTTCAGTACCAGAAATAGCAAATGATACAGCTCTGAAAAAAAAACAATTCCTGTCACCTTGGATTCTCTTCAAATGATCTGGTTGCCCAATGTTGTCACACTGTACATACTTTCCATCAAACTTTGAATTAGTCTTGACAACTCCAAGCATTTTACACAATCCAACCTTATGTTCAGATGATAATGGAGCAAATCTAAAATCACTCACTGTAGATACTTCCATCATTTCAACATCACAGTGATCTTTAGAATTATTACCTTCATTGACATTTTCAACTCCCCGACTTACATGAACTACTGATCCCCTTAGAATGTGCTGATGAATTCTTGTTCATTTCTTTCTTTATACTTGTAACTAAATTTCTTCTCCAACAGTGACACAGAAATCGAACCATTCATTCTGGTTAATGCCAACTACATTCTCTTCACAGATACTTTCATCATCTACAATGAACAAACTCACACCTGTAATTTCAAATTGTTCACGATCAGACACATTCATTGATCTACCCAAATTAGTGCAATACCTGTACCTGTGTACATCTTGCCATGTTGGAGCGCATTTCATTAGGCTTCTACCTTCACTCACTAGGCAACCACTGCAATCTCTGGAATGTGAATCAAAAATGAAGTACTTATGATTTTGGGAAATTACACAAAAAGTATTTCCATGAAAACATACAAAACATGCCTGGTACCTTTGCAATGTCTGTTCAAGAGCACAACTGAGCGGATTCATTTGGAACTCTTGTAAATTCAAATCATCACTAAATGCACCAATAACTTGATCATGATATGTCAATGTGAAAACGTTTGTTATATGCATCTAATTCTGTAGGCAGTTCATTTATCAACAAGTAATCATTGTTCGTTGTACAACTCTGAGATAAATAACCATACAACTCATCACCAGTATTGATAATCAAATCCATATCACTGCCTGTCCAGGTCCTCAATTCCTTTATCTGACTGTACATCATTGCGCATAAGCTATTTGGAACACATTGCTTCCCACGATGGCGAAATTTGGGATGATCTTGATTACAAGTACCCTGAATAGCAATACTATTAATTACTTGTTCACATTTAGGTTCTAAATCTACACAGTTTTCATTTTCTGCCTTGATTTTCTTTTCTGAAGGTTCAACTAAACATGACCTTTGTTTCCTCTTCAAATTCTTCCTTGACCCTCTGTCTTTGATCTCTTTACATTCATTTTCCCATCTTTTCCTTCATGTTTTTCTTTCTCTGTTACACTTTCACTTTTTGCTGCTGAAGATTTCTGTTCAGTCCTTTTTCTTAAAGAATACCCTCCGGTTTGTTCGACATACACATGCTTCTTAGTCACTGACAATTGTGCCACTTGCCTCATATTGGTTTCTCTGGCTTGAAAGCATTCATCTTCATTTTCTTCTTCACAGTTTTCTATGTCCACACTGCAGTTCTTCATATCAAACATATTCACATCTGTTGGAATGCCAAAATCATTGAACAATTTGTTACAAAAATTTGAATGTCCACATTTGCGACAAATCCAGGAAACATGTTTATCTGCTAAATCCTCGCGCATGTTCAAGAACCTCATACATCTTACATGAAACCATTCTTTACACTTATCACACCGCATTTCCTTCTCTGAACTGCTTTCATCACAAAGCCAACACAAATGGACACCATTTTTTTGCTTAGAATCTTTCCTATTACTGCTGTTAACACTGTAAGTACATGCCATTGCCTCTCTTACAGACTGATCCATTATTGTAACCTTTGTCTTCTCCACAATACTGTCTCTCTTGTGCAACCTCTTTTGTGTATGATTCTGGGGTGCTGCATCTGAGCCTTTGCTTTTCAAAAATGAAGCTCTACACTGAAATTTCCTGTTTTGCTTTTGTTTGCATTCTCTCTCTTCTGCATATTACTAATGACAAAACTCAAGCATCTTCTAGTGTGAGTTTGTGTGTTCTGCTGTACTTTCTCATAGTTCCTTCTTTCTTCCTTACTCATAGAGATTTCCACCACCTTACCATTTCTTGACCTGTGATAAGCCTATCTACATGCACTTCTACGCATTTTTTTTTTTTTGGTTTTGAAACTTTTCTTGGCTCTATGCAGAGCTCTACAATACAGTCTAATACTTTGTTTCTGCTGCAGCATGTCTGACCTCTGACCTTCAACATTTTCATTGCATTCTGCTGAACTAGTCTCTTGATACTCATCGTCTTCATTCTTATCTTCTTCAAGTCCTTCACTTTTGATTCTGACTTCATTTGAAACTTTGATCGAGGAATTTTCTGAGCATTTTCTCCACTAGGAGGCATTATCTGATCATTTTTTTCCACTAGGAGGCATTTTTGAGCATTTTCTCCCAAAGGAGTCTGAGCATTTTCTCCCGAAGGAGTTTGAGCATTTTCTCCAGGAGTCGTCTGAGCATTTTCTCCCGAAGGAGTCTGAGCATTTTCTCCAGTAGGCCTAGGAGGCATTATCTGAGTTTCTCCCGAAGGAGGCATTATCTGAGTTTCTTCCGAAGGAGGCATTATCTGAGTTTCTCCTGAAGGAGTCTGAGCATTTTCTCCCGAAGGAGTCTTGAGCATTTTCTCCCGAAGGAGTCCTTACTGGAAATGGAATGTTGCATGTAGGCGTGACATGGGTAGACACTGAAGGGAAGGTACGAGATGTAACGTGAGTGAAGGATAACAGACGTAACAGACAAGGGTAACACATACTCCTTCCTCCCGTCTAGTCTCTGATGCCACAACGTAGCCCTGCAAGTAGTTTTCTTCTTGTAGACCTTCATTTTCTGTTGGCAAAAACATACAATTTCTTACAACACAGACACTTACATAACTCATTTCCCAACCCCCAGGTTTAAATTGGGGGGGGGGGGGGTTGAGGTAAAATAAAAAAACAGCTCTGTCAATTTTGGTTTTTAGTAAAAATTAATGGAAAAAAAGGAGAACAAAGGAAAAAAAGGAGAACAATGCTGCACTGCACTGATGGCGATAGTTGGCGTCCCGCCGTCCGCGTCCTTTACAACTCCGGTGCAATAACGCATGATTGCCTTGCGCATCTGAACAAAACATTCACTTTCGTTGCAAAAATTGTAAATTGTATTAAACTTAGCTCGGCCGGACATATTCATCTTGATCATATCTTTCTCAAACTTATGAAAACAACATACAAACCGAACTGACAATTCATCCAAATAAACACCAAACCTAGAATCAGAAAAATTCAAGTTACTGTGATCACAATTTCAAAACAAGATTTTTTTAAAAATGTATTTCTATCATTTGATCCCTGTCACCAATGTCTTGTGACTTTGTTCGTAGCCCAAATAATGATACCTGTTACATGTACATTGTTCACCGTTGGATCCCTAGTGCTGTGACGTCATGAAACAACAAGTTACTCATAAAGTGTGAACACACACTTATATGCCGTATTTTCAAACATTATTTTAACTTCATAATGAACATGTATCCTCTCCGAATAACATCACTATTCACTACCAATATTCACTTTTTCTACGTTTACAAAAATTAATACATACTGACATTGATCACTACCTAAAAGAAACATTTTTAAACAAAACTAGAGGTTCGCGTTTGTTGTTACAAAAACGTAAGAGTGGTCGGGCAGGCAATTTGTTAATGAAACACTGCCGAGTTAAGTTATGAATATATGTTTATGTAACAACAAAGGATCACGAAATTAAATCCTTTCCATCACAATAAATTATTTTGTTAAAAAATGCATCTTTAACGGTGTGCTAAATTTCCGTAAACATTTCATGTACACATACAAGTTATTCTAGCTTGATGACGTCATTATTAAAAAAAAACGGGAAGTGAATACTGATTTAGTTCAGACTGGATAAATGTTTATTGTGAAGTTAAATAACGTATGCAAATATGGAATATATAACCGTATGTATTTATAACACCTAACTTCCGGTTTCATGACATCACTAGTATTTGGAAGCAAAAGTTTAACATTAATTGTTATGGTATCGTTATTTGGGCTACGAAGATATACGACATGGATCACATGATAGAATTTAATTTAAAATATGATACTTTCCAAATTCTCATCGATGTAACTTCCGGTCTGATGCTGTCATGAATTTGAAACCTTGCTAAGTTATCTGTGGTTAATCAAAGAATATCAAGGGGCGATTTGGTAAAATTGGAACCGATGCTCTTCAGATTAAAGAAAACAAACACAATTTTATGTGCCGCTAGGGGGCGCCCTTTCGGATTATGACGTCATCACACTGTTTTTTGTGACTTGCATTTCTCACTAAACACTTGCATAATATACATGTTTGTAGTAAAATGCTTCCGCTTTTGCGTTATATTCAATTTTCATTGCACTTCTGGTAACACCAGTAACACCGGAAGTAAAGGTCAAGCGGTTTTGTGTCCGGGAACAAGAAATGTTTCTCACGGCATAGTCTACAACCTCATGAAAAAACGAACACGATACTCTATGTAACCAGGTCGGGTTTCAGTACTTACTTTTCCTCGACTGGTTCCTTATTTACTCCAGCATTATTTCATAACTTCTTAACTTCGTGTTTGTGTCATTTTACATGTGAGCAGCCATTGCGATCATGCTTTTTGCCTAGCGCCCTCTCGCGGTCAACTAAACTTTTTTTTGCACAGCGCGTCACCTAGAATTTTGCCCGCTACTTTTTCAACTATGCAATGGGCGTAGCGAGCAGGCGAGTTTAACATTCCACGCGCTTTGTTCAAATTAGATAGCTGGCATTCAGGGCGTTTCGTATGGTTTTCTTGTAGGGCTAGGTCCAAAATATTGTTGATTCCGTTCCAACTCTGCTTTGGGTTGACATCTATCTGGCTGGTTCTGCCCCTGCTTTGCGACCAGCATTTACAGCGAGCATTGCACACTCCACTATTTCTGCAAGTTTTGGGTGTGGCTCCCCGATAGCAGCAATATAATTTTATATCTGGCGTTGCCGGCATTGCATTTTGCAATATTTTTTGCAGCTTCTACATCGATTTTAACATCGAGCACGGAGAAGACATGAACGTAGATCATCCCAAGTGATAGTATCCTTGGAGCAACTTCATTACCCTATTGTCCCTTTTTGACTGTCGTTTTTATACACCCTACAAAGTCGTTTTTATATACTCACCAAATTATAATTCCTTTTGTAAATACTGTACCTGATCATTTGTATATATATTGTCTCTATTTGTACTATAAATAAAACATTTCATATTTTTGAGACAACAGAAAACTTCGCTCTACCCAAATCATTTTTTAGTGGAACCACTCGGTTGTAAGGAGAGTGCCACATTTTAAAACTAATAAATTCCACTCTCCCCGGTTACATCTATTTAGTTCAAAAGATATACTGTAGCACAAACTGTTTTGTCAAATTTGCCCTTAAATCGCTTGTAATTTGATACCTGATGACGTCATGATGACGTAACAAAATGTTGAACATCTTCGTGACATGGTACAAGTTCACACATGTTTTTGTGATTGTACCGTAAACCGTTCGGAAGAAATTTTGCTTTGTTTTTATTTCAGGCTAACGTCTTCATTTTGAATTCACCTAAATTTGACCTTCCGGTAGACCCGGAAGTAAAGGTCAAGCGAGTTTACGTACACGACAAAAAAATGTTAAGCAATTAATGGTCTATCTCAATGCACAATACAAACATCATTGATTATTTAGTTCAAGAGTTATAGGTGAAAGTAATTGGTCACTTTTCTACCTAAAATCACTTGTAATTTGACACCCGATGAAGTAATCATAGGGGACCACCGTCCCCTAAACCTATTTGCTCATAAAGCAGTTGAAAACAAAGATAGAGCCTTTGATGGCATTCTGCGACAATATACTAAGTTGGTTCCTACTCAGCTTAAGACCGCAATACTTAGGTTTACTACTGAGTACCGCACCTCGAGCGCCGATCGGTATGCCCTCAACTGAGGTAGACGATACTCCGAAACGGTTCTTGATGGCCATTGAGATAGGGCCAGTGTTATACTTGGTACACTTACTAATCCCCGAATCCCTCAAGGTGTGTTTATGGGCCTCGTAGGGGACAGATATATCGGCGATGAAAGCATGGTTTTTCGCCTTGTCTATGATCACTAAATCAGGCCTAAAGTTACCAGTGTTGGTGGTTACCAAGGGCTCTGTATATACCGAGTCTTCGCCATACCGCCTGGACATATAACGAGCAACCTGTTTACACACCTCGTTGTGCCTACGCATCCTTGCTTGGAGCACTGAAGGGCAGCGCTGCAGGATGTGAGATATTGTTTCTATGGCACCGCTACAGTGTCGGCAGGAGGTGGGACCCCCTGTATATGCGAGGTTATTGCGGCAGGGAAGAGTTTTAGCCCTGAGAGCAACGGCCTTGGTATACAGGTCGCCTTGAAGTATGGTAGGGTTGTCCACCCACGCGGAGGCCGCGGGATGGTCAAAGGCTAGAGCGCCCTGGCCTTGTTTGGTCTTCGAATGATCGCTCAGCCTCCGCATGGTGGAGTCGTGGACGTGGTGCTTTATCTGAGATTTGTCAGCTTCAACACTCGCCAGCCCGAGGGCCCGACTTAGGCCCTTAAGTTCTTTTTGCACCGATCTAGAGGAGTACAGATGTCGGATGTTCACATCTTTAGACTTAGCAAGTCTGGTCAGAGAACCATGTCGGAGTTTTTTGGCCAGAAAAGGGATGTCAGGAAGGCCAAGACCACCCAAGGATGTTGGTGTGGTAAGATACAGAGTATTAGCTGAGTTGGGAAGATGTACTATCGACCGCACAGACTTGTTGATACATCTTTGAATAGCCTTAAGGGCATTAGCTGGGTAGGTATTCATACCAAAGTGATAAATAAGCCTAGGTACGATATACGACTTAATCAGGATAAGCTTCTGCTGGGGCTTCAAGTAGGCATCCGATATCGCTCCGAGCCAACGGTTGAGCGGTTCAATGAGGTCGTATTTGGACTTCCCGAGAACACCGAACTTCTGACCGAGATACTTGGTCGTATCCGTCACTGGTATGGCTGGAATAAACGTACCATGAGCTTGCCATACTGACTCGGTCATGGGAATAAGTTTCGAAATATGGCGACCATCGATGCGGTGTACCATTGTTGCCCCGAACACAGCTGACTTGAGTGCATTGACTCTCATACACCGAGCATCAAAGAACTTTTGGCATGTGTCAAGCAGGGTAGACAACCCACATTTACTCTCGGCCATAAGTACTAAGTCGTCCGCAAAAGCCAGGGAGTTAAATCTCGCACCTCCCATCTCCAGGCCGATGTAATCGGGGAGCGAATCGACCAGTTCGTCCAAGACAAAGTTGAAAAGTCTAGGACTGAGTGGGCATCCCTGCTTGACACCACATCTCATCGGGATAGGATCTGATATGGAGCTACCGGTTGTAATACGAGTCCTGACGCCGGTGTATAGATCATCAATGCACGTGATGAAATTAGCTGGAATATTATGTCTCTTAAGAGCCCTAGAGATAGAGCTATGATGGACTGAGTCGAACGCTTTCGACAGATCTAAAAACATGACATAGTAGGATTTATTCTCATGTCTATACTTGGAAAGGAGATGGTCTAACAGGGACACATTCTCCAGACAGCCATCAGCGGGTATGAAGGCTTTCTGCCTAGGGTTGAGGGCAGTAGCCTCTGTAAGTCTAGTATTTAACACTCTAGTA